GGCGCCCTCCCACAGCCTCCCTCCCCCCACTAGAGCCCTTATACTCTGTTATCCCTGCTACTGTCTGCTGTGTTGTCGGCAATCCCACCAGCAGTGAAACAATTTCTGGGAGAAATATAAATCTAAATGAAAACCTTTACTAAAGGCCTAAGAATTCTAGACTTTTAGATAAAGCATAATAGTATTGGCTGAATTGTAAATATCCACATGTCCATTCTACATCTTTTCACTTATGGGTGCTAATTACACGGAGTTCAAATTGGTAGGTCATATTTCAGACTCATTAGTGACTCATAAGCAAACCAGACTTTAGTGTTAATAGTATTTGTTTCTGTGTATGTGATAAAGACTTTTTTATTTTCATTTGTCGGTCTTTCATAATTTTCACAAGAAGTAAGGAATGTCATCATAATTCTGTTAACCTAAGTTTTATCTGTAGTGTAGAGCCAGAGGCCAGGACTGACACAAAACTAATTTTGAAGTGGTCTGAGAGAATAGAAGCAAAAGATTAGAGAAATGTGATCTGAGAAAGGAAGAAAAGCTCCTCAGATGTTTCTTTTCCTTTAGTTTGTTGTTGTTTTAGCACAACAAAGTCATGCGTTTCACCATCGAATCCTCCTGCATACCTTATTTTTGTTGTACATCCTCCTCCCTTCTCCTCCACCAAACCCTTTCCAGGCTTTTTCTGGTCCTCTTCTTTTTCAGCCACCATCTTCTTCTTCTATATCGCATGTATTTTGTTACACACTTTCCCCATCCTCAATGTTCCCTTAGGATCTCCTTTTGCTCCTCTTTGTAGATCCCATGGTTCCTTCTTGATTTGGTTACTTGGCCATCAGAGACTCATTTTCTATAGGCTCTCATGAGAGACACAACAAGGGAAAAATTCAGCCCACAGTAGCAAGCCACATGGCATAGCTCAGGGACACAGTGTTTGGCAGGACAAGAGCCTCCTTCCTCCATCTAATTTCTGCATATCTTTTTCTGTGAATGTCTGTCATAGACTAGCTTTTTATATGATTACAGTTTTAAAATTTTCATTAGCACTTTGTAGAAACTGAGTTTATTATTTCTGAAAAAGATATTCCTAATTATTTCCAGTTACATTTAATTATCTAAGAAATGTCTTTCTTTTTTTTTAGCAGGGGAAACCGTCAACGTAGTCCCCAACAACAACAAATCATTCAGTTGAGTTTCTCACACTTGGGAAAATCTCAGGGGTCAGCACATCCAAAGAGCAATGAGTCATCTGCCACCTGGGAAAATCAACCTTCCTGATCATGATATATCCCTTGCTAGGTAAGTATATCCACTTCATTCCTGGGGACAAGAATAAAGATTTATTAGTGATTATCTCTGAAAACTCTTTGGTTTGGGGTTATAGTTAAAATCTCTTGCGAAAACGCTGTTTAAAAAGTCTAATTGAGTTAGATGCCGGCCTGGTCTATGTAGCGAGTTCCAGGCCAGCTGGAGAAGAGACATAAAAAGGGGAAAAAGTCTTATTTAATTACATTTTCCTGTTGCTCAGGTTCTATAATTCTTTGCTTCTCACACAAGGTTATATTTCTTTGGTCCTCACACTTTCATCAGTTCACTTATTTATGTAAATATTTACTGGCCTTCTCTGTGACAGGCATATTCTAGATAATGTAGATTACAGAGATTGTTCAGGCATAGTCCATGAACTCAGATAACTCATAGGAAAACTGTCCCCCTTTGTTTTCATCTTGCACATTTTCCTAAACCTTAGCAAACTTTTATAAAAAAATTATTTTCATTTTTTTACATATGAATGTATTACCTGCATGTCTGTAAGTACACCTGTGTTGTGCAATGCTTGCAGAGGTCAGAAGGCATAAGATCCCCTGAAGCTGGAGTGATGTCTGTTTTTTTAGTCTCCATGTCGGTATTAGAAACTGAACCTGGGTTCTCTGCAAGAGCAGCCAGTGCTCCTAATCTCTAAACCACCTCTCAAGGCCCCTTAGCAGAGCATTTGACCTAAAATGGCTGTGGTTTTTTTTCTTTTTTGCCAACCACTGGAATGTGTTCTTTTTCAATTACTTAATCTTTAGCATGGTTCTACTTTGGATACTTGTCTTTAAATGGCATAGACACCATTTTATCCTTCTATTTTTTTGTGATCCACCTTTTTCAGTGTTAGTTGTTACTGTGGCAACCAGCTGCAGGGCTCAGGGAAACTCACTTCAACTGTCCCATATATCTCTACTTTCTGACAAGGGACTTGCTGCCTGGTAAAATTCATATTTCACAGAAGATGCTGTTTTTTAAATATTTTATTTATTATTTTTATTTTATGTGTATGAGTGTATTGCCTGAATGTATGTGAGTGCACCCATGTAGTGCAATGCCGCAGAGGTCAGAAGAGGGCGTTAAGGAAGATTTGTAGCCACCATGTGGGTGCTGGGAATCGAACCCGGGTCCTCTGCAAGAGCAGTCAGTGCACTTAACTGCTGAGCCATCTCTCCAGCCCAGAAGATGCTATTTTATAAGGCATGTGTGTCCTGAATGTTGTGTGGGACATACACTAAATTTGTGGTCTATGTACAAATCCAATTTAAATGGGTGCCTTCTATTTTTATTTTTGATTTGGGCAAACTTAATGTGAAAGCTGGCAGTTTGAATAAATATCCAGTAGAAACAACCTGTGATGATTTGAGAAAATAATCCAGTAGATATACTCCCCTTTGTTGTTCCTAAGGGGAATAATTCTTTATATTGTGGTGCTGGGGATCAAACTTCAGGGCCTCATACATGGTAGATGAGCACTGTACTAACTGAGCTACATCCCCAGACACTCAGGTGGATAATTCTATATGAATTCTTAGAGGATTCACCTTTCACACAGGATTAAATAGTGGTTTTCCATGGCTATGTTTTGCCTACCTAGCAAGTGGATTTGGAGAAACATTAGTAATTAGGATTCCAATGTAGGAGGATCAGGAGCTCTGGGCTGAATACTGACTTTGAGGTAGACACCCCTAAAAAGATTTCGATTATTTTGAAATTTTTTATTCAAAATATTCAGATTTTATTTGGAAATAATTTTGAAATCTTTCTTTGTTTCTCCTTTCCCAGTTCTCCCCTGTAGTTCCTTGGGTTCTTAACCTACATACATACTGACATTATCTCTGCTGTGTTTTAGAAGTGCAGACTAAGTGCCTTCTTTTGCATTATTTTACTCAAGTTCAAGGTAGTCTGTGTAGCTGAATTGTGGAGATAGATTGAAATTTGACTGTGACAGAGTACCGTGGTCTCCTGAGGTGCATTTAGTCTTGCATTATTCCTTTTTTTGGCAGTTAAGCATGTATATGTATGTTTTGTGAATGGAAGGAATAGACTTACAGGTGACCTGTAGGATGCAAGTTGAACACACCTACTTTCAGGGTTGCTTCTAGAGTATCCATGTTTTATTTATATTCTGCCAGAGCAACCAACAATATCCTGAGTGAAACAGTGGGAATGAAGAACAACTTTTATTTTAAACCGCTAAGATGGCAGTACTGTTCACAGTGCTGTAGTCTGGCTGTTTAGGTTACTGTAGCAAAAGAAAAATCTAAACAGAAACCAAAACCCACAAATTTTGTAATTTACAAACAACAGAAATTTTGCCCCTCAAAGTTCCCAAAGACTAAGTTTCAGACCAGGCTGCCAACAGATTTCATGTCTAGTGACGGCTCTGTTCTTCTTAGCACTTCATTGCTGCATCCTCAGGTATTGGAGAGGTTAAACCAGACACCAGCTTGTTTGATAAGGTCATTAAAATATCCCATGATTCCTCTGCTGTCATGACACAAATCTCTCTCAGATGCCTCCATTCCCCACATCACTGCACTGGAGACTAAGTTTCACTATATGCATTCTGGGGTAGGAGGCTAGAAGAATTCACACTATTAGTTTAACCTAGCTTATCCTGATTCACACAAAAATCCATATAAGACTATGGGTGCTGATGTAACAAGTTTATATAATATATGGTGTTTAAAGATTGTGTGCTGGGTTTAAGGAAATGGATAGAAGTTGCAGGCTTGATGAGGTGTGTCAAGTGATAAACTTTTAGTTAAACTATGATCTTCAAAAATCTGAAAGACAGATCATGCATATACTAATAGGATGACTTTACGCAAGGATGTCAGAAAATAGAATATTATATACATTGCTACATTTGTCTCATTTTTCAAACTATTAAAGATTTGAGTGTAGGTACGATAATTATCTGGCTTTCAAGCATGCTTGAAAAGGGAATTAAGAGTTAGAAATTGTGAACCTACAACACTGGAAATTTTAGGCAGTGTGAAATAAGATCAAGAAAGTCTGAGCACTAAAAGCCAAATTAGCATCAGTTTTATGTGAACAAAGGAAAAATTTATGACATTTCTTATACCTGTTGTTGAAATATTATAAAACTGTGAAGACATTGTCTCAGCACATGTACCAAATTAAGAGTATAATTCCAATACTCTGTGAGAAACTCTCAATAGGGTAACTCCTAGAATAAAAGATTTCTAAGTGTGTGGTGTGCTTTATTTGGGCAAAATGGCTCAGAATAAAGAGACCAAGGATATTGGTTTCATAGAAGATCGTGTGTTCATTGTAACCAAAATGAAGTTGAAAGAGAGAGAAGCAGATTCCAAAAAAGAAGCATGCATATGGTTATTGTACACAGAGCAAATTGGAGTAAGCTTATTTTTGAGAAATAGAGGGAAAAATACTCTACTGTCAACGTCCCAATGCTAGATGTCTCTGAGACTGTAACTTTCTTTGGATTAGAAGTAGATTGCTAGGGTTTTTTTTTTCTGTCTTTTTGAGACAGGGTCTCTCTGTAGCTCCAGCTGTCCTGGAACTCACTATGTAGAGCAGGCTGGCCTCGAACTCACAGAGATCTGCCTGCCTCCCAAGTGCTGGGATTAAAGGCGTTTGCCACCAAGTCCGGCCCGACTGCTAAGTTTTTAGGAAAGGAAATTTTCGAATGGCAAACTCATTTATGTTGAGAAACGCAATTTAAAAGAAAATTGCAGCATAGACATTGGGAAGTGGGAAGTAGGTAAGAAATCACAACCCAATCTAAGAAACTTTTGGCAGTTGGTTACTTCTGGGAGGGGGAAAAGACCGTGTCTTAAAGGGTTGGGACTTTTGGTGGACGCAGAGAATGGATTCACATAGAAGGGCATTGGAGGACAGAAATCATACTCTATAGGTCATATTATATATACATACATATGCGTGTGTGTATGTATATATACCTATACTGAGGAATTTCATTAAATTGGGCAGGGGTCATTGGGGAAACATGCAGAGAGGGGAGTGGAACGAAATGCCATCAAACTATACTGTATGAAAAAAATCACAAAATTTCAATGAAAAAGCAAGCCTGCTGGATAGTGGAAATGTGTGGTTAGCAAGCAGTGGACAAGGAAGTTACTTTAAAGGAAGAGTAGCCAGGGCCTCTTCTAGGTCTAGGGTGAGACCTCCTTTAAACGTCTGTTGCCAATTTGATTTCACTATTATTGTGACTTCTCAGGGAGTGCTGGATGCATCTCATACTTGGCCCTTTCCGAATGAGAGATTTTAATGCAGTTGTCCTAACAATAACATATTAGCAACATGGAATTCTGATGTAGAGATGATCACATATCATTCTGAAATTTGATCCATTGACTTGAAGCAATGCTTGAATGATAGTTAAAGTTGTCACTCGTGGAGAAGGGGGTAAAATAGTCTGGTATGAGGAAGGAACCAATATCTGCTAACTAGAAGGTTAGATTGCATTCAGTATGTATTATGGTGCACTAAAGTGAACTTCCATTTCTTCTTTGAGCATCGTATCCCCCAGGTTATTTGAACTTATATGAACACATGGCTTCCTTTGGCCAATGACATGTGACCAAACACTTTCAGGGAGGAGAACTGAGTCAGTGCATACTTCACCACATGCTGCATTCTGTCTGCCATGGCAACTTTTGATATCGTGGCTACTCAATAGTGTCAGTTTCTTCCGTTTTGAGTCTTTGAGCTAAGGGTAAGGGAACTCTGAAACAGCCCCCTAGGTGGCCTGTGTGGAACATGTAGCATGAGTGTATAGAAAGAGAACCTATTCTATAGTCTACGAAGACTAAGGAGATTGTGTAGCATAGCTGAGCATATTGTAACTGAAAGTTATGAATAATTACAGAAAGGCTAAAATGTTAAGGTACAGATGGGCAGTGGACACATGAATAGAACATAAAACTTCAGAGAAGAAGTGCCCAGGAAAGGACATGTAACTTGGAATATGTTCTAGATCTAGAAC